GCTGCTGTAATCTCTCTTCTTGTTTCTTTTCTATTTCCTCCAGCAGCTGCTGTAATCTCTCTTCTTGTTTCCTTTCTCGTTCTTCTTGTTTCTTTTGCTGTTCTTGTATTGCTGCCAGCTGTAGTTTGATTTGCCCCTTCTCGTTTCCATCTTCTTGTTTTCTTTTCTGTCCCACTCTCTGACACCAATTTGTTACGTATCTGCTCGTTTGTTAATTTCCGGTATAAATTCTTTCTGAGGAATTCAGCGATACCAGTCTTTTCTTGATTAAAACTAGTTTATTATTTCTGGATACAAACTTGTAATACACAGAATTTCCAATCAATAGGTTAAACTTAACTACTTTTATAACACACGCTATAAATCAAAGTGATTCACAAACTTTAATCACAATGTCTACTGTTCGCTTGACTCAATTATCTATCTCCTCAATCTATCTGCCGATCGCGCTGGTTTTTCTCGTCAGGCTTATATATTAAAAAGAGGGCGTCTCGAATGCACTCTGGACTTCATGAATCCTTCTAAAAACTCCAGTGCGCATGCTCCCAGCGTCACGTGACTTCCGCTGTCGTAACAGTACATTTTTTCTTTAGTTTAGAGCCAAATTTCACGGTACTTAACATTATGAATAAATAAGCTTATAATGTTATTGTACGACCTAACGTTAGAGATTTGTAAAAATTTTGATAAGCTCTTATATTTAAAATGTTATACAAAATGTCTACTTTTACTAAAGTATATTTACATAAACGTTTTGTTTTTATACGTTGAAATGAAGTGCGTGCGCTTGCATATTTACATAGTTAAGTGCGCACGCATTTTCAGGACAGACAAAAATTGAGTATTATCATGATAGTTAATTTGGTTCTATGAAACAAACATTGAATTTTGGCTTAAATAACTGCTTTATTTATGCCAAAATGTTATTGCAACTTTCTAGTGCTTCCACACATTTTATTTCTTTTCCTAAGAAAACTAATGTGATTGAGCACGCTTTCTATACCTTTAATTGTGTCGAATGAAGCTGATAGTTTTGTTCTTTGGCATTTTCCATATTTAATATACAAAGGAAGATGCTTCTTAAAAATCCGATAACTAGAGTGTACATTAAACGTAAAAATATATCATAGTGTCCAGCTTGTTGTTGTTTATTACCACTTTCGTTATCATAAGGGATTTTAATGCGAAATTAAAATAAACAAAAATAAAATAGAATATGAAGATTAAAACACGTTTTAACATTTCTGCATTAGATTTGATATATAATATATCAACGAAATTGAATTGTATTATAATGACACCACAAAGTGTTGTTCATTAAAAGCTATTTTTCCAATTGCTCACTTATCAAAGGATCGTAACATTTTTATTCTTACTTAATATCTTCTTTTTTCTACTTCAGGTACCTAAAAATATTTGGAACGCTTTACGAATTCGCATGCCATCCTTGCGATATTAAAGGATTGTTACATTCTGCTGAATGAATTTACATTTGCACAAAGATACGTAATAAAAGGTTAACAGTAACGAAACAATCCAATCAACTCTTGCAATTATCAATACATTTTTATTCATACATAAACACAGCATTTGAACAAATAAAATGTGCAGATCGTGTTTGCAATAAGTCTATTTCTTTATCCAGTTTCAGCAGCAGATACTGTTCTTAAGCTTTAATCCAATTGCTCAAGGCAGAATGGTTAAATTAAAAAAACAAAAGCAGCTGTTAAGAGACCAATGGCTGGACCGTTGAATCTATGGAGTTCAATAGGTTGGAATAGGTAACGCCATATTAATAGAGCTGTACAAATATGAAAGCAATGTTTTGTCTTTAGTTTAAAAATTACACTTGAGGACAGTAACTATGATGTCATATGCGCTCGAAACCTATATAAATCCCGTGATCCGATATCACTTTCGACAATTGAGAAAATTCATTATTTTTATTTTATAACCATTCCTTCTCTCCATTGTACACACACACATATAAGTAGTAGAGGAATAAACAACTTTGAAGCAATTGGTGTTTGGGTATATTATGTCACAATATCAATTTTCTAATGAAGAAATGCTATAAATATTTCAATACTTTGGTCAAAATGTAAGTTATATCTCGATTTTCTTTAAAATGATTTACAACTTTAGTCGTTTTTGTTTGAAAACTGAGTAATTCACATATGATATAAAGCAATTTGACTAACAGCGAATAAAAACGACGTATTAAAATCATAAATAATATTCAACGTTAAACTGGTACACAATTAAAAACATTTTATTTAGGTCTA